GGGTGAACACATGTAAAGTGGTGATTTTTGTGAGATCTGTTGCCTATTGCGCTCGTGAATTTTTTGCACAGAATTGCCACACGAACTTAAATCGCAGTAATAGCAAAAACAAGAAACCGAGAAAACCACGCGTGAAGTTTAAATATAGTCTATCTTTAACAAATCACTGTTTATTATCAAATTTTAAATGCAAAGTGTAAAAAAAGTTGGAATACTGAAATAATTCACTAATTTCAGGTTGAAATCATGAAAAATAAATTAATTATAGTCTACTGCTTCTACAACAGTTATTTGATAAATCGTCTGTTACACTATTTAAAATGCAGTAAAGTGAGCTGTCACTGCATATTCAACAGTTTTGTTATTACATAAACTTATAAAATGCAGTAAGTAGATCAATATTTATGGTCATGCAGTGGTCAGTTTACGCAATATTTTTCAATATTAATATGGTTTTTGTTAAGAGGTAAGTGATACGAAGTTCACCGGGTCAGCTAGTGAGAAGTATTAATTTTATCAATATCTAGCAAAAATAATCCAAAAGAAAAACGTTTGTTGTATGGGAGACCCCTTTAGTATTTATTTTATTCTGGTTTCAAGTATTTGTAATTGAAGCGGCAACAGCAATAGAAATATATCATCTGTGAAAATTTCAACAGTCTAACTTTCACGGTTCAAATAGAGACAGAGAGACAGCGAATCGTTTATAACAGGGTTCCCACTTAACCCTTTAGGTACGGAACCTGCGAGTCGGGTTATAGTTGTTACAGTCGAAGGGTTCCATTATCAAAAAAAAAAAGGCAAAACAGTATTAAAAACCCACTGAAATATTTATTACGTGGTATTTTAGTATTTGTTGTTAGCGGCAATAGAAATACGTTATTTTTGAAAATTTTAAGAGTCTTCGTAATATCTCCCATTTTGACATTTTACATTAAGTAGTAGCATTATAAAAGAGTATATAGATTTATGTTTATTTTTCATTATTATGATTTCAAATCTCGGTTATTCGATGGGTTGTGAAGTCATTCTCATTCTTACAAAAGTATCTGATCATCTCATGTATTTTTAAAAGCGAAGGAATTGTTAGTATTAATTACCATTTACATTGTGTACAAAACGTTTCACGGGTTATATAGTACGACTGCATTTGTTGATTAGATTTCTTTAACGATCGAATTGGCAATAAAAGGAACACCTAGTGGATAAAGGTTCTTTTTTTGTAGAATAATATAAAATAAACTTTAACGTTAACAAAATTCAATGAAAAGAACTGTGAAACTTTATTGCATTACTAGTCTTGATTTGTTTTAATTTATAACTCGAGGACATAAACTTTATTGCATTAATATAACAGTCTTGATTTGTTTTAATTTATAACTCGAGGACATTAATTGTGAGTTGCATATTAATAAATAAATAAATATCGGACAACATCACACACATTAATCCGATTCCGAAGTAAGTAACTTAGGCACTTTTGTTACGGATATCAGAAACAACGGGGGAATACAAATATATACATAATATAAACAGGAAACACCCAGACACAGACCGATATAATTGTTAATCTCAAAAATGTTTGTCTTGGGTGGGGATCGAACCCACGACCCTCGGTGTAATAGTAGGAACGCTACCACCGCGCCATTGAACATTTAATTTTAAGATCTACCACCTTTGAATTTAACATTTCAAAGATATTCACGATGCAACTATTTGGCATGTACTAGCGATCGTTTAGTGCAACCTTTTTTTGAAATATATTGAATGAACGAATTCAAATTTGACGTTAATTGGAATTTTGTTTAAGTAAATATATCTTAAAATATTTCTGGCATTTCATTTTATGTTTAAAACCAATTTCGAATATTAGAAGTCGCAACATTTACTAAGTTTATTTCATTTGGTGAACGTTTGTTTGCAAACTTATTAAATTATGAGTAGTATTTCGACAATTGACTCTTAAATGGGCTTAGATTACGTTAATTTAAACTTTCTTGATTTGTTATAACTATTATAAGCATAATATATTACATATTTCAATTATTACTTGGCCAAATAAGTTCTTTCTTGTCGGATAAGTAACAAAAAAAAATATCAGCTACAATATTTGCTCACTAAATTAGACTCAAAAATATTTGCATAAAGAAATTTGTTCAAGCGTAAGAACGCAATTCGCTCACGGAATATGTGGTTTTAAAGTTTGTCTTTATTGTTTATCATAAAATAGGATATAATTGAAAAACTTAGAATGAATATATAAAAATAAAAATCCTCAAAGAATTTAGTATGACTGCGTTTCAATTATCATTACATTGAACTGCAAAATTTTGTGACTTGTTTGAAATATTAGGAACGTAAGGAAGAGTATAATGATTGTGGCTTCATAATATAGAGCAGATAAGAATAATCTATATAAATTAAAATTAATGACAGGAGAAAGACTGTATTTATTGAAGAACTTAAGTATTTCTTAAAGAAAAAAAATTGACAATTCAACTAAGACAAACCTCTTTTCATAAAAAAAAAGATGACAAGAGTTTGTACTGAAGCTGCTTGAAATACGATACCAATTCCATGATATCAATAAAGATATTAGGTTTTTTATAAAATTGATTAATTTATTAATGGAATCCTATTATATATTGAAGGGCTTTAAATCATTCTTCATTTCTATTACGAGATTAACGGTAAGAGTGGTAATATTTATAGATGTTCAACTGCTCTTGGATATTTCTGAATTATATTTTCATAATAAACTTTGCTGTAACTCATATTGAGAGGAAAAAAAATAGTCGTTACTAGTTTCGTATCTCTTTTCGATTAAGAGATACCACTCATGTAATTATAAGTTGTCTTTCATGGGATACCGTTATACTTAAATTTACCTTTTTTTTAAGTTTCATCATCTTGCAAATGCATTAAATAATAGTTGTACTGAACCGATTAAGCTGAAACCAGATTAAATCTAATAAGGCAGACGGCTCAAAATGTTGCTTTAGTTAATTTTGTGCAATTTTTTTGTGTAATTTAAGTATCAAATGGACGGTCTTCTTGATAAAAAACTTCGTTAAAATGCGATGTATTTTTTTAAAAGACACTCAAATTTATATATAGGTTGCAAATGAAGACATTGGTTGAGAACGATTGACTACTATTAAAAGAATTGAAAAAAGCTTATTATGTTTAAAATCACATACTTTTTCAAAAAACTACTAAGAAAGACGACAAAATAGAGATAGTACGTAAGGTTTCCAAAAAAGGCAAAATATCATTAGATAGTTTTTTTTTTATTAAAATAATAAATAGATTTTGATATAATCAGCTTGGTCGCGGCTTATGTAAGGCTTTTTGAAGACCCTGTTTTGTAGTTTGATGCGCTATACAATAGTGGTCATCAATAATATTTCTCAATTCACAAAAATTTATAATATGTATTTCATTTTAAAATAGACTCTAATGAAAAGTGAAATAAAGCTTTTTAGTTTCACCTCCTGACGTTGGTTAATGTCAATATAAAAATTTAGATTTGTCGCTTTATACAGTACCGATTTTATTTACGAAAATTTCAATATGTTTCCCAGACTTAAAAAATATGTACAAGGTACAATTATTCTGGTCATAAAGAACGTCAATATTTATCAATAAATTCCAGCGATACATCGATTTGAAATGTCGCATAACGTCACACCTTTATAAATCTTACTGCATAGTTGTGACGTAGCGAGCCAAAACTGTTGAACTTTAATGTCTACTATCTATGCTATTTCTTGAAATTGAAGCAAATAAAATACGTGCCTAATATTTTTCTATTATTTAAATACATTAGAATCAATTTGTAAAGATAAGATCTAGCCATCGTGTTTTTATTGGAGCAAAACTAAGGCGGTTCGAAAGTTTCATTTGAAAATCTAATATATAATTATAATCTATTACTTAATCATGATTACTATACTCGTTACTAATTAAAGATTATTGTTGAAAAAAATCCCTAATTTAGCCCGAAACCGTATTAACAAAAGAGTTCCTAATATTACTTTTTGTGATTTTTTTGCAGAATATTTAGGTTATTTGCAAGCTTTTTTTTCATTATTTTAATTGTAGATTGGCAGTACTTAGATTGTTATTTTTGTTCAAGAAAATATTAATAAAACCTGTAATTAAGAAATATATGAAGACCTAACGAATTACTTACTCCGTGATATTAGGAAATAAAACAATGACGAAAAATTTTGAATAAAATTGTGTATATAAAAAATTGAGTTTTGATCTATTTCCACATCTCGTTTTTTTGTTATACCCACAATATTTTAAATCTATATTAATAGATATTATAAATAGGTAAATTAAAGTTAAATAATGTTCCGATCATGAAAATTCTTTCACCTACAGGACATGATCATGCACGGGTAACATAGCGTCGCCAGAAAACAGCTAATTAATTTTATTTGCGATTAATTCTTACTATTAAGGATTTGTAATAAGTACAATAAAATTTATTTTGTGTTTTATTTTACTATTTTTTTTATCTGCTAGCATTGGAGATGACAAAGATTTCTTTGCTAGTTTTTTGATGATATACCTTCAGTTAGTTTACTAGGTACTATTGAAAATAAATATGACAATGTTGATAAATAAATATCAAATTACCAATTTCAATACAAAATGTATAAAAAAAAATTCTACCTAAATACGTTACACGATACTAAACTTTGGAAAAAAAGTGCATTAATAACATTATCTTACTGTGTAATGTGTAAAATGTTTATATGTGAAAATATTTTTACTAAAGTTTAAGTATAGGCATTATTTTCTATTTATTTCTTATTATATGAGAATTAGAAGTTTTATTCTGAATCAAAATCTTGTCACATAACGTATAATTTAACATACATGCCTGAATTGAGTATAACAAATTTCCGTAAGAAGGTATATGTTCTTTTTTTTTTAAATTTAATGTTTAACGGTAAATTGTTTGATTTTTAACATTCACCACTTACCTTTGCTGCTTGTTTCGGAACGGAACGAACGAACTTTTCAAACTTGGAACGCGCGAAAGTGCAACAAGTTAGAGTGGACCGCTGTGATGTGACACCGGCATTTATATCGTGCTAGGGCGGGCTGGAGGCGGAGCCAATACTACGCACGCGTCACAAAACGAAGTTCGACCTCTTTGAAAATAAACTTTTTTTTTTCAATTAATGAAATCACCTTTATATTTCGAACTCGGTTAATAAAATAGAAGGGTAAATTAACGCGACAAACTAGCACTCTTATCTCTTAGAAACTTTTTGGGGGATAAAAGGTAGCCTTTAAGTTAATCTAGGCAGGTTAATAAAATCCCTAAAGTAACTTTCGCGTGGAAAAATAACGAACATTTATATTAGGATGCCTTATGTATGAGGATGATTCCTGAGAAAAATATTCTTGTGCTAGTGCTGTTCTGTTACAAAATATATGTTGAATTCGACGTCGAACACAGCGCTATCACAACAAATAAAACCTAATTAAGAAGGAAATAAAGGTACATATAACAGAGACTCCCTCCAATCGGCACTGAGCGCGCGTGTGTCATGGCTTATTCTCCCTGTTCGGATTGCTTAAAAAAAAGAACATATGCCTACTTTCGGAAAATTGTTATACTCATATACTCATTTCAGTTATATATTATAATACGTTTCAATAACTTTGAGGTATAATAAAAATGTCTAATAAATTGTGCGTTATGTGACAAGATTTTGTATTGGATAAAACTTCCAATTCACATATAATAAGAAATAAATAGAACATGATGCCTTTGTTTAATCTGTAGTGAAAATTTTTACATTGAAACTTTTTACACATTACATTGGAATATAATGTTTTTAATGCACTTTTTTTCCAAAGTTTAGTATTGTGTAACATATTTGTGCAGATTTTTTTGTATTGTCGTATGAAAATTTTTAATTTTATTATATATTATCATTGCCATATTTATTTCAATAGTAGTAAACTAACTGTAGGTATATTGTCAAAAATCAATCATCTATAAGCTTTCGGGTACTAACAAAGATATCTTTGTCACCTCCAATAAGCAGCTAGCTGTTAAAAAAAGAGTAAAATAAAACAAAATCTCAACTGATTATTCTGAATAACTTAATTTTTTACGTTACAGAAGGCAAAAAGTCTTATTTTATGAAACTACTATAAATTTATAATTAAAAACAATTTTATAATATTTAGAAACCAAATCCTATTAAAGTGGACTTTGAAATGGCTTAAGTAAAGTTTGAGACGTGCTGAAATTTAAATCTGATTTTGAAACTTTTTAAATGAAAAAAGCGGGATTCTATCGACGAAAGCGGGACATAATAAAAAACCGTATGTAATCAGAAGTTTTCTAATATCTTTTGCGATTAAACAATAAGCAGTTTTAAAAAACTCTAATTAAAAATTGTACAACGTAATAACGCTTAAAAATTTGAAATCGTTATTTCCACCTCTAATTATCATTATGCGCCGGGCATTATGTTCATGGCACCCGGCTGCGGTTCCTCAGCACGCTGCACGCACGGTCGAGTTATCCCCGATAGCGGGACCAAACCTGTCCCGCGCGACATTTAATTTCGATTTAAAGATCTGGACGTCCCGCCTAAATCGGGACTCGAAATCGAAATCGACTTACAAATCTATAGTATTAACTATAATTTTATACTCAATCCCTTTAAAAGTATAGTTGTTAGTGTAATGGAACGCAACCCTATTTGCTGAATAAACTAGCGCCATCTCGCGCTTATCTATTTTTAGCATAGTGTCATCCATTTTGTAATCTTTTTCGTGTTACCAAAAATATATACCAATTGTCCGTAAAAAGTATTTCTTTTTATTTCAAATTACCACATGGTAGCAGAGCGTGGTTGCTCTGAAGTTAAGGCCGTAACCATTCGTAAAAGAAATAACTCTTTAACAATTGCCGAAAGCTCAATGTGATTGAGAGGTTAAGTACCGCCGTTCAAAAGGAAATTGAAAAATGTCCGCAAGTACATTTAATTTAGAGAAATTGATGGGACGATCGAATTATTCTTCATGGAAGTTCGGTGCAAAAACTTATTTACAACACGAAGAACTGTGGGAGTGTATAGAACCAACCGACGTATCCAAGCCGGTAAATCCTAGTAAAGATGTCAAAGCCCGAACGAAAATCATCCTTCTTCTGGACCCCGTGAACTACGTCCATGTTCAAGACGCCCAGACCGCGAAAGATGCATGGAAAAATTTAGAAAAAGCCTTTGATGACAATGGTCTTACTAGGAAAGTTGGACTTTTGAAAGATTTGGTCACCACAACTTTGGAAAGCTCAGGAAGTATTGAAGCATATGTGAATCACATTATGAGCACAGCACATAAGCTGCGAAGCATAAATTTCAATATAGAAGACGAGTGGATTGGAACTTTAATGCTTGCCGGTCTTCCTGACCTTTATAAACCTATGATTATGGCTTTAGAGAGCTCTGGAATCCAGATCACTGCCGACGCCATAAAAACGAAACTCATACAAGAAGTCAAAAACCCAGAGCCCTCCGCATTCTATATGAACAAAAACAAAAGTAAAAAATTTGGCCCTCGGTGCTACAATTGCAATAAACAAGGACATTTAAGCAAATTTTGCAAAGCACCTCGGCGGTCAAACAATAATAAAGATACCAAGGGCCACAACTCTAATAATTCTGGTTTTGTTGCAGCTTTTTCTGTTTTTCAAGGTAATTCAGATGATCAATGGTATATTGATTCCGGTGCCGCTATGCATATGACGAAGAGAAAGGACTGGCTTTATGATGTTAATAAGCCTGTTATATCCAAGATCACAGTAGCAAATAGGACGCCTCTGTCTGTTGTCAGTACTGGTAAAGTGAATATAAACTTAAGTGAGAAGAGTAAAATTCAGGTGAGAAATGTCCTCTATGTTCCTGATATAGCAGTAAATCTACTCTCAGTGAGTGCTATGAGTAAAAGTGGATGTAAATTAATATTTCATAGCACTGGTTGTGATGTGTATAATAATAAAGATGACTACATCTGTTCGGCAACTCTCATAAACAATTTGTACCAGTTAAATACAAATGTTGGAGCAAATTTCATTTGCACTGGGATTTCTAATGAATCTGTCTTATGGCACCGACGCATGGGCCACCTAAACTTCCCTGATGTAAATAGATTGCCAAGCTGTGCTGAAGGTATGAGTTTGCCTACTGAGAAAACTAAAAGTAATGTTTCGTGCACAACATGCAGTGAGGGTAAACAATCTAGACTATCATTCAGCAAAAGCGACTCCCGAGCAACTGAGCCACTTCAACTTGTGCACAGTGATGTTTGCGGCCCAATGGAGACGCCATCAATTGGAGGTATGAAATATTTTATAAATTTCATAGACGATTATACCCGAAAAGTATATGTATACTTTATGAAAGATAAATTAAATGTCCTTAACATATTTAAAGATTTTAAAAATAGAGTAGAGAATGACCTTGACAAACGAATTAAAGTTCTTCGTACTGACAATGGGACAGAATACTGTGGACGGGAATTTGAAAGTTATTTGAAGGATAATGGGATTGCTCATCAGACAAGCACACCATACACACCTCAACAAAATGGCCTTTCAGAGCGTATGAATAGAACACTAGTTGAGCGTGCACGCTGTATGATGTTTGATGCAAAATTAGAGAAACGTTATTGGGCAGAAGCCGTAGCTACTGCTGCCTATATAATTAACAGGTCCCCAACAAATTCATTAGATAAGAAAACTCCCTTTGAAATGTGGTCAAAAAGGAAACCAGATATATCCCACATGAGGATATTTGGTTGTCAGGCCATGGTACATATACCCAAAGAGAGACGGTTAAAATGGGACCCTAAGTCTGTTAAAATGATTTTCTTAGGTTATTGTGATGATAGCAAAGGTTATCGTTTATGGAACCCTCAAACTAGAAAACTGATTAAAAGTAGAGATGTTTTGTTTTTAGAAGAATCTGTAGTTAATAATACATGTGAAGTTACAGATGAACAAACTACTGACAAGAATGACTGTGGACTATCTACTTCAATGTCATTTAAGAGAAATGAAGACTCTGCAAATGGAGGAGAAAGCACTGGTACCAGTGAATATGACACAGATGAAGGACAAGACAAGGATGAGACATATGTTCCAGACAGGCCAATAAGTAGTTCAGATAATTATAATAATATAACCTTAAGATCACGTCGACCAAAGCCATCTGAACCAGAAGATGATGAGTACAAAACTAGTTTTTTCTGTTATGATAATCTTAATGATCCACAATCAGTTGAAGAAGCTTTATCTTCCGTACATAAGAATGAATGGAAAAAGGCAATGGTCGAGGAGCTTAAGGCATTGTCTCAAAATAATACATGGACCCTTGTAGAGAGGCCACTAAATAAAAAGGTCATACAGTGCAAATGGATATTTAAATCTAAAACTGATCAGGTTGGAAATGTGATACGCTATAAGGCCAGATTAGTAATTAAAGGATATAAACAAAGGAAGGGTATTGATTATGAAGAAGTATACTCCCCAGTGGTGAGATACACGTCAGTTAGGTATTTGTTAGCATTGGCTGTGAAGTATAACCTGGAGATAGATCAGATGGATGCAATATCTGCCTTTCTGCAGGGGGACATCGATACTGAAATTTATATGGAGCAACCTCCTATGTATGAAAAAGGTCCATCAGTATGTCTGTTACATAAGTCAATTTACGGTTTAAAACAAGCAAGTAGATTGTGGAACAATAAATTAGATAAAGTGTTACAAGAAATTGGCTTTCAACGTTCAAAGGTAGACCCATGTGTTTATTATAATATAAATTTAAAATGTTTCGTTGCAGTCTGGGTTGATGACTTAATTTTGTTTACAACAAACAATGAAATCAAAAACAAAATTAAACAAGAACTAAAATTAAAGTTTAGTATGAAGGACTTAGGTGAACTGAAAAGTTGCATTGGTTTGAGTATAACTAGAGACAGGATTGAAGGTAAATTAATAATTAATCAAAAGAGATATATTATAGAGATATTAAGCAAATTTGGGATGCTGGACTGTAGACCGGTGAAAACTCCAATTGAAGTTGG